CTAACAGATTTTTTATGTTAAAAAGTACAATTTGTCTTTAAGATACAAGCCTGTGTTGGAAGTAGTGCAGAGGTGCACTATCCTAAGAAGAGTTCAGGTAGGCCCTAGATTCCTGGTATAGACAATGTCTCTAAGGAGTCCTTGCTCTGAACTGCCCTTGAAGAAAATGCAGTATCTGTTTTCTTTGGTCTCATCAGCCCCCTTCTGCCTTCCCTCTCATTCCTTTGGAGAACCTAGAGCCATCAGTGGCACTAGCTCGGCAGTTCTTAAACTCCCTGCCAGTATGTCTTGTTCCTGTATAGCATGTATAAGTGTGGGAAAAAATCTGGCTGAAATGTTTAATTAGAAATATTAACCTAAATCTTGGTAGCAGATTATCCACATAATTATTAAGAACAAATACAGTAAAAATGTAAAGCTATGCATTTCTTATTTTATGAGATACCTGCTGCTAACAGTGAAGATCATGATGTCATTCCCTGAATGTGACAAAGGCCTAATATTATATGCAGTAGAAACAATGAGTCAACAGTTTCTATGCCCTTGAGGTCAAAGCTTTCAGCAGTTTTGAAAGTAAGCTATTCTTTTTGCACACAGAGTTCTACTTATACACTAGAGCTCAAAACAAAATGTGCAATATGAAGATAACATTAAAATAGAAAACTGTGTTCTTGGGACACTGTTAATTAAAAGTCTCAAAACAGCTTTGCTATCACCAAACACAAATAAAAAATTCCAAGAGAAATATTTTCTAAATAAAATGAATAGCTCTGATTTTACTTAAAATGTCTTAGTTAAAATGTTGGAAAATATCTTTTTCTTCTAAAACTCTAAAAAATACGTTACTGTTGAAACGATCCTGAGAGGCACTCAATATTTACAACTGCTGCTAAAATCAATAGGAATTGTTGTTGCTACTATAAACAATAGTTGAACAAAATTCATTTGGATTTGTTTTGGTGTAGGCCAAAAATAAAGCAAGCATTTTAACAAGGAAATGTGTGTTGTCACAGAAAATAAAACAGCAGGCTGTCTAATAACTAATACTTATTTTTTGCTTCAGAGGTCTGTTAGAAAATACAGCCTGTTAGCTAAATCCTAACCACCTTTAGCCACGTCTATAATAGCAAAAAGGGATGCTTTTCATATAAGTCACTTTAACCAAGTTATCATCATCATTTTCAATATAATAATAATACCGAGATTGTATATGGAAATCTTCATGGGCATATCGCAAACTACTGCAAAGAATCATTATCCCCAATTTACAGATAGAAAAGCTGTGGCACACAAAGGGGAAGTGACTGGCCCAAGATCACTTAGCAGGCCAATTGCACAATTTGTAGCAGAACTGAGGTCTACCAAGTTCTAGTTCAATTCCATCCACTAATCAGAATGGCCTCTCTGAATAAACTGTTAGTGTATCTCAGCTGAGCCCTAATCACCTATGGAAGCATCTTTTAGATTGTTTCAGGTGGTCACGTTCTAGTCTAGGCTTAGCTTATTTGATTGAAAAAGCACATCTTTTTGCCCATGTAGACAAGGCCTATGACACAAGACCAATGGATACACAACCCTTTTGACCAGCAATACACTGTTTTTCTTCCTATTTATTATCCTTCTAGAGCAAATGCAGTAATGGGAAAATAAAGTAGATTTTGTTCTGACAGTTTTCAGTATAGGAAAAGGGGAAGAACAATCACATTAGCAAACTAGATGCTCAGTAAAGTTCAGAAATCAGTGTAGACTGGAATAAACAGTATTCAGCATCATTGCAACTAACTGGAATTAAACCCTGAAGTCTGAGCTCAAAGGGTGACTGTTTGTGAGCCAAGAAGCTGCCCTAATCCGCTGTAATTACAGATTAATTGAGTCTGCTGAGGCAAGGTAATTACCGTGCTCCAGCCAGCCTCCATGTCTTGTGTATCAGTGTCCTCACCCTTCAAAATGGTGGCAAGGGCGCTTTAACTAAACCTCGTTCAATGAGCTGTAGGTAAAGTGTCCCCGCCTCCATTTTAAAGCATAGGGACACCGATACACAAGACTCTTGGGGAGCTTTAATTAGAGCAGCTCCAAGAGCTGCTCTAATTAAAGCATCTCCCACGAGCCCCAGAGCACATGTAAAAACACCCTTAGGTTTTTAATCTGGGCTAGTTCATAAAACACTGAATTCAGTTTATCCTGGTTTATGCAGATCGTACCGTGTCATACTGTTCAGACACAAGAAAACTTTTCAATGAAGGCGAGGCCTAAGTCCTCACATAGCCAGGCTATGATAAATCACGTCTATTACATCAGACTTCCACTAATAAAAAACCAATAAAGTAATGAGTCACTTTTTATATGCCTATTTTCCTTAATGCTCGTGGTTCCCTTATCTTTTAGATGTTTAGTTTTATCACAATATATTTTTCCATTATTTTACCACAGGAAAGGACTGTAAATATACTCAGCAACATCCAGACCCGATATAAGCAGATATGACTGTATTGAATTCAAAGGAACTGGCAGGTGATCAGAGACCTTAGATGTGAAGGCCACATATTTAGCAGCATAAAATATAAAATCAGGTTTCTAATTCTAGGCACCCAGGTTTGAAAGTGTTGGTGTTAATATTTACATCATACATAAAAGGAAAGAAAAACAGGTATCAAATAGCTTCCTATCACAATAAGCATTGTTCAGTAGAATTACTAAAATAAGATTTAATTTTAATCATCTTGTCCTGAAGTACACCCGGCACTGGAAAAAAAAATCTCTTTATGGACATGATGCAAACCACAGACAGGAGCATACTATGATTACCTTGACAGACTAAGTTGCACGTATTTTAGGAACCTTGACAGAGACCTCACATAGAGCTACATAAATTATATGAACTACAAAACTAATTGATGTTAGACTAAATTTAAAATTATAGGCCCTAAAACAAACAAACAACCACCTCTGCTAAGCATTTCAGTTGTTCTTTATTTCTACGCATTGCAATTTTGAAAATAAAATGTATCTATAATAGAATTTATCTTAGCCTTCTCTTTTAGTTTTTATCACTATACTTGAACAGCTGGGAATTTGGTACAGCACATATTGAATTCCATCCTTGTTTTTGTAAAATTATATTACCGGCTTATTTAAATACCCCTTTGTGTATATTTTGAAAGAAAAAAATGATAGAGCAGTCTTCTCTATAGTCAATTCTGTCTCTATGAGACTTTGCTCTCATGTTTAGCTCATCCATCCTACAACACTGGAATATCTACTGCTAGTATTATTTGATTTGTATTGTTTCAAATAAAGAATATCTGCTTTTTCTTTTATGAGTAGTTCACCCACATCCAACCAGGGCCAAAAGATGAAAGTATGAAAAGCTTAATCCCAAATCCCAAACACAATTCAAATTTCAAACAACATTAGGATCCACATTGTTCATATAGTCATTGTATTCTCCCCTGATGTTCCAGATGTTCTCTGTATATATGGCCATTGTATTCTCCTCTGGGTTCCAGATGTTCTCTGTATATAATAAAGATAAAATGTAGAAATATTTAGTTGAGATTTAATTTGAATGCAAATCTCTTCACGTGCCCTGCATTTGAAAGCTAAAACTGTCCCAACCATGCAGCTGGTCCAATAAAAAGATATTAAACCACAAAAATCCTTGCCTCTTAAATTATTCTGAGTTTCTCAGACTGGGCCTACTATTGACAGAGTGTTCACAATTCTCCCACAATTTACTGGGGGTTGTGCATGCTCGGTAGTTTCTTCAGACACACTTACAGAGTTTTTAAAAATACATATGGATGGCAAATAGAAAGTTTTGTGACAAGCCAGACTGCTTTATTAGAATAAACAATAGAATTAACACCCACAGATCCAGACTGTTGAATGTTCAATCACAAATGTAAAGGTAGGAGAATATCTCTTCTGCTTTGTTTCTTTTGATCATATTCTTGGGTATGCACATTGTACTACCAAATTTTCTTAGTAGTCTTTTAGGCTCCAAATCTGTAAAGAGCTCCGCTCGGGTAGGCTTCACATGGATGAAGATATATTGGCTAGCTTTTAAACACTGATCAAAAGGGTTTGAAAGTAATATTCAAGTATATATTATGTACTTTCCCTTTTTTGTAACATTAAAGTAGTTATGTCTACTTGAATTGAGACACAGTTGGAGTTTCTTGTTAATACAGTAATTTTTACAAGCTAGAAGCACTTCTAAATCTCGTAGTACTATAGAAAAGTATTGTGCAATAATTCTAAATAAAGAAATGTGCTGTTGTTGAGAGAAGCAAGTGACGAAAGATCCTCTCTTGAGGAAATCAGGAGTCAGCAATTAAAGTGACAAAGTTTCTATATCAGTGCAATGATAGATGTCAGATTGCCATCAATTTCCATTTATATCGCCCCTAGATAGAGAAGAAACAAATTAAATAGAACCCTGTAATCCATACATTCAGGAGAAAAAAGGCTGAATGTTCAGTAGTAAACTATTTTAAATGGCTGTTTGTCATATTTTGAATAAAGATAAAAAACTCCAGCAGTATTTTAGAAAATTCTGAATATGTCAGGGAGGTGTTAATTATCAGAGGCATCAACCCCAAACAGTGACTGATTGCATTTCAAAGGGAAATACCTCTGTTTTATACAGAAGAGGATTCGAGTGTATTTTTTTAAAGTTTTACACAGAGACAGCGCCTATATCTGTCTTAAATAAACGATAACCGAGGAAATGTGATTAGAATATTCTGCAAGACAACTATATGCAACGGCTGTAAATATTTCTGTCTTCCTGGAATATAATATTGAATCAGGATGGCAACCGACATCACAGAAAGAGGAAGAAGAGGAAGAAAATTATCTACATAATACACAGGCTCCCCAAGAATTGAATAGGAAAGTATAGATAGGGTTAAGGTATTTAGGAAGTGTTTGGTGAGGCAAATGGTTGTCTAAGTACCCCTGGCCTTATGGAATCCATCTAGGGAAGCTGGGACAACCTGATAGTTGGCAAGATGACTGGCTGAGGAACACGTCTTTGAATACGGTGCTAGATGCAGGTACTGGTCTCAGAAGTCATGTTTAGATAGAGAAACAAGGTGAGATTTTTTTTTTCAGTTGATTTCTCTTGCTCTCTGTCTTGCCAAACTCCTAGTTGCTGGGTTTTATGATTTCCCTTGTTTAATTAATCCTTTTTTCTGTTTTACATGCCTGACTGATTGCTTATGGTAAAAGTTATTTTCAGAACAATTGATAATTACGGGCATTTCTTATGCAGAAGAGAGAACAACTCCATATGCCAAGAAACTTTCTCTGCAAGACTGCAAGGTCTGGTTAGAGGCACATGAGATTGAGAATTGCTAGGATAAGGAATTATTCCAAGGACAAAATCTGCTTGGTTCCCTGCACAGTCTCCACAGAGCAGAGGAGATAGACTTGGAGCTCTGAGAGGCAACCCAATATCTAGAACCATAGAGCATTAGGGTTGGAAGGGACCTCAGGAGGTCATCCAGTCAACCCCTTAGTCAAAGCAGGACCATCCCAATTACTCCATTCCAGCCAAGGTTTTCTACCTAGATCTTAAATGCCTCCAAGGATGGAGTTTCCACAACCTCTCTGGGTAACCTGTTCCAGTGCTCTACTACCCTTCTACTACGAATGATTTTTCTAAAAGCTACCTCAACTTCCCTTGCTGAAACTTGAGCCCATTGCTCCTTCTGTCATCTGCCACCGCTGAGAACAGTCCAGCTCCATCCTCTTTGTAACCACCCTTCAGGTAGTTGAAGGCTGCCATTAAATCCCCATCCCTCCTCCCCCAACCCAGTCTTCTCTTCTCCACACTAAATAAACTCAGTTCCCTCAGCTTCCCCCAAGAAGACATGTCCCCCAGCCCCTGAACCATTCTTATTGCCCTCTGCTGGATGCTCTCCAATTTGTCCACATAGTGGGGGGCCCAAAACTGGACACAGGACTCAAGATGTGGCTGCATCAGTGCAGAATAGAGGGGGATAATCACTTCCCTCGATCTGCTGGGAACAATTTTGCAATGTAGTCCAGTAAGCTGTTAGCCTTTTCACAACAAGGGTGTGCTGTTGGCTCATATTCAGCTTATTGTCCACTGTAACCCCCAGGTCCTTTTCTGCAGAGCTGCTGTTTCTCCAGTCAGTCCCCACCCTGTACCGGTGTATGGATTTGTTCTGTCCCAGATATGGGACTTTGCACTTGTCCTTATTGAATTTCATGAGATTTCTCTTGGTCCAATCCTCCAATTAGTTTGAATCCTTGCCCTACCCTCCAGCATATTGACACCTTCCCCCACCCCCAGTTTGATGTCATCTGCAAGCTTGCTGAGGGCACACTCCATCCCATCTTCTAGATAACTGATGGTACATCCTGCACTCAGGCTGATGGGAGTATGGAACAAAACTAGCCCTAGGACTGACTCCTGGGACATTCCACTTGAGACTGGCTGCCAATTAGACATCAAGCCATTGATTATGACCCTTTGAGGCCAATGATCCAGCAAGTTTTCTATTCACTTTACAGTGTATTCATCCAACCGGTACTTCTTTAGCTTGCTTGCAAGAATATTGTGGGAGACAGTACAAAATCCTTGCTAAAGTCAAGGTATATCATGTCCACAGCTCTCCCTGCATCTACAGAGCCAGTCACCACGTCATAGAAGTCATTCAGGTTAGTTAGGTGTGACTTGTCTTTGGTGAATTCATGCTGACTGCTCCTAATCACCTTCTCCTCCATGTGCTTAGAAATGGATGTCTTGAGGATCTTTCCAATCATCTGGAACCTCTCCCGATCACCATGAGTTTTCAAAGATAACAGCTAGTGGCTCTACAATCACATCAGCCAACTCCCTCAGCACTCTCAGGTGCATTGTGTCCAGCCATCCAGCTTTTCTAAATAGCCCATGACCTGTTCCTTTGCCACTGTTGGCTACTCACCTCCTCCCCAAACTGTGCTGCCAGGTGCAGTAGTCTGAGAGCTGATCTTACCTGTGAAGACTGAGGTAAAGAAGGCATTGAGTGCTTCAGCCTCTTCCACATCATCTCTCACTAGGTTGTTTCTGCCATTCAGTAAGGGACCCACACTTTCTCTGATTGTCCTCTTGTTCCTGACATACCTGTATAAACCCCCCAAGTACCTTGCTAGCTGCAATGCCGGTTGTGCTTTGGCCTGCCTGATTTCATCTCTGCATGCACAAGCAATACTCCTATACTCCCCCGGAGTCATTTGTCCAAGTTTCCAGTTCTTGTAAGCTTCCTTTTTTTTTTTTTTTTTTTGGTTTTAGCTCATTGAAGAGATCCCTGCTAAGCCAAGCTGGTCTTCTGCCATACTTGCTAATCTTCCTACGCACCAAGATGGTTTGTTCCTGCACCCTCAGTAAGGTTTCTTGAAAATACAACCAGCTGTCCTGGACTCCTTTCCCCCACAGACTGGCCTCCCAGGGTATTCTACCCACCAGTTTCCTGAGTGAGTCAAAGTCTGCTTTTCTGAAGTCCAGGGTCCTTACTCTGCTGCTCTCCTTCTTTCCTTTCCTCAAGCTCCTGAACTCAGCACTGCTGCCCAAATTGCCATCCACTACTACATACCCCACCAACACTCTCCAAAAACTTCCTGGATTGCCTGCACACTGCTGTGCTGAGCTCCCAGCAGATGTCAGGGTGACTGAAGTCCCCCATGAGAACCAGAGCCTGTGATCTGGAAACTTCTGCTAGCCATCTGCAGAAAGCCTCCTGCTCCTGGTCTGCTGATTTATAGTAGCTGTCCACCCTGACATCACCCTTCTTGCTCTCCCCTCTGACCCTAACCCAGAGACTTTCAGCAGGCCTATGTCCAATTTTATACTGGAGCTCTGAGCAATCATACAGCTCTTTAACATAAACCACAACTCCTCCTCCACTTGTCCCCTGCTTGTCCTTCCTGAACAGTTTATATCCATCACATCATTGACTCATACCCTGGCAGGACTAAAAAAACAGACACCTGACCCAGCAGCGTGAAAGCCCCAGCCACTGAGGCAACAGCCTTTTCTGTAGGCTCAGATAGCTGCAGGGCAGAATTGGGTCGGTGTTCACTAGTAACGGTAAGTGGCTGCTGTGGCTGGATGCTGCTGTCTATTCCCCTTGTGACTGGATGCAGGACACTGGGAGGTGGATCACTGACTTGCAGTGGAGAGCTGTTAGAAGGCACTGGCTATCGGGGATGGCAATGAAGGGTGGCTTGTTGGTTGCAGAGAAAGACACTCAGCAGAAAGGGGCTCAGGAAGCCTGGGGCTTCACCAACAGCATACAAGGTGGAGGGTATAGTTCAGTGAGCATGCAATGCCAGGACCTACTGTGATGTCAAGGGCTTGGATAACTCCAGCAGTGACAAAAGTCTCATTGGAGCTGTCCCCTGGGCAGTGATTCTGTCACTCCAGTTCTTGGCTCTCAAATGTGTTATAGGGCACCATGAAGTCCTGCTCCTCCAGCACCTGGTCTGGGACAGTTGCAGGCTGA